AAAAACATGAAAAAAAACTGTTATCACATATCGGTTTACTTGTGAAAAAAAGAAAAAATGACCCTCGATATAGAAATAAATCGATTACGATAATGTATTGCCGTCCGCCTGAGTGACATTCAAAATTATAAGGTAAATAGACTTGAATAGATTGGACGTTTGACATAAATAACATGCTTTTACTTCAAGTGATAACAATTTGATGGATAGTTCTTCGATAATATACTCAAACCTTGCTTTGCTTAACAAAGAACTAAATGGTTAGTGATGGCTATCACTTGTTCACGTGTTAAAAACAGAAAGAACACTGGCTGGAAGTAATCGTTACTAAATATATTTTAATTTCGTTTTTACATCTATGTAAATACTGACAAGCAATTAAGATTGAGTGTCATGAAAACACAAAAATTAATTAAACATTACAATAAATGTAAAACAGTAAATAGTTAATACCATTATAATTATTTATACCAATTAGTTTTGGACACGTATTAATTTATTTAAAAACCCTTCATTTATCCAATATTCGAAGTTGGGCAACTGTTACAGTCAACATTGTTTGTAACTTGTTAATGAGATAGGTGATTAAAGCGTTGACGAGAAAGAGGGAATCCTGTTGTTCGCGAACTTGAAGTTTAATCCTAATTATTCGACGAACAGCCCAAACTATGTTTTAATTAAATCTATGATAGTAATTGGCAGATTACAAACGCTGATGTATTCGATCTAAAATGCTGGTTGATTATGGGTTATATATGAGCATGGATAACTTTGAAACCGAGAGAGGATATATCCCGTAAGAGGACGCTGCATATCATTCATATCATATGCATATTTTGGTAAAAAATATTACATTTTTTATGGAGGATTTATCTTCAAAGTATACAAATTTAGTATTTAACTAAAGGGTGAATGGGTATGTACCGAGATATTTACCTACCTAAAAAGGTATTGGTACTTCCACAAATAAATAACCTACCTAACAATTATGAAATATTTAGATATAAGTAATTTTAATTTAGTTTGAGGATAGTTTTACGTAAGAATATCGTAAATATTCTGCTAGTAAAGTCTTGTAATTGTTTAAGCTTTAATTTACAATTTGTGTCTCATTTAACGTTGATGTGTATATGGTTTCTTCAATCTATAAGGTATTTTATATATAAAAACGACAAATGTCAAATAGTGTCAAAAACGTTAACTTTTTTGTATTTTGCGTATTTTTTTAAATTTGTCCGTATTTCGTCTTTTTTTTAATCTGTTGCATATATCTTTGGACCAAAGGATTTTTTTGATAAAGCTGTGTATTTATTCAATAATAGCCCTGGAAATTACTCCTTTACTTCTTTTATAGAGTTCAAAATAATGAACGTTTCCCTCAAAAAATTAACACTGATGTTTCCTCTTTAGTTTAAAAAAAAAAACTTGAAATAGGTTAAGTCCATAATCGTTATTTTTTACGATGCAGAGACGCTCCACATTTTTATGCTTTGAGGTTAGTGAGTGTGCACTCACTATTGTTTACTTCTTTTCACGCGTTGCACTTCTTCCATCTTTTCATGCAAGTACAAGCAAGTTTATCAGGATAAAAGCACTTGTGTTCACTCGCGTTCCATTGTCTGTCGTCTTCCGACATACTTTCAGATTCCAAAATCAGTCTCTCGTAAAATGTTACATAACTCTTTGAATAAGTAGTCCGGTGAGGTGGAAAATGCGTTCATTCGACACCCTTCGCCGTGCTCATGGGACTAAATATTGATTAGTCAGTGGTAACCGTCCCACATTCGCTGTCATCACCCCGTCGAGGATGTTCATAAGCGCTGCCAGCGGGTGGCTAAAGGTCTTCGAATTAAAAATAATGAAATATATCATTTAAAGATTACACTTTTACTTGTCTATTATTGTCTGAGCTCATAAGATGCAATGTTAGCAAGCACTGGATGACAAAATATTGGTTGGTATAGGTTGGGTGGAATTTAACAGATTTTCCTCACCTGTAAATCAAATGACACTATGACTGTTCAGTCTGGAGCCGATCCTGTGTTCATTTTTGAGACACTATAGTTACTTAACTTGTTTTAGTTATTGTTATTTGGTATTACGTCAATTAGACAAATACTTTTGAATTTGTACCTTTTGAGCAAAATATATTATCTACCCCAATTATTTTACTACCTTAGTCCACGATCTAAACATATAATCGTCCCAGGAAACTGCACAGTGACCTATAAGAACATTACTATTATCATAATTGAACATTGTAAATATATCATTTTCAAGAATGGGACTCCTACCTAATTAATTATTAATATATTTTTGTTGTATAAGATACTTGTTAAAATAAACATGAAAATAAAAGAAAAACAGTGTCGCCATCTACATAAGTAACAGCGGGACACGCCTTCTTAAAAACAACACTGATGCCTGACTTGAAATTTTATGGTTATCTAAATAAAAACAAATACTTTTATTACTTTAAAAAAAATCCTTTAAAAACGCACAAATACGTAACGTTGCCTCTAATGAAAAACAACTCTTTGTTCTTTTTTTTTATTTATGTTGCTTCCAACTCGATACAAAACAGCTTTGTCGGACATCAAGCATACGCCGCTTTTCACAAAAACAAAAATATAAGCGTTTGAGTCCAGACCATCAGCAAATTAATCTTGTTACATACGAACCTTTCCCTTTCACCTCCGAAAAAGGAGGCCAATCATTCAACTGCCACCTACCAATCGCAATTTTTCTTAGTGCGTGTAATTCGTATGTGAAGCCTCTGGAAAAGCATCAAAGGAACCAAATATCGCCGTAACATAGGCGCAACCAAAAAGTTTTCATCATATTATTGTATGTTTTTTAATTATCTATCTGCTACATTAATGATACTTTTCCCCTTTTTAATATTGTCATCATTTATGACCTACAATCTTGTTTTTCAAACGGTATTAAATTATTATTATTAATAGAATCATGTTTTCTGGCATGATATAGAAGATGGATAGTAAGAGCTATGAATTCATACAAAAAAGTTAAAGCCACCGTTAACTATACATGTAATACTTGATTCGAATAAGAAAGAGTAAGAAAATATAAATAGAATCAAAAAGCAAATGCTGAGATAAATCATACAAGATTCTATTGACTCTAGTAATCAGAATTACTGATCAAAAGTTACGTCAACAAACGTGTTTGCTTTAGGAAGGACTTTTACGTTAAATAGCATTAAGATTGGCTAATTTCATTAAATGCACAAAAAGTCCTCATTCTAGAAAAGAACGACTTTATAGTGTACTCTTAAAAAGGAATAGAAGAGGAAAAATTCGGTAAAAAGTCAAGAGTTGTCATATCAGTGGATACTTCTGTCACTATTCTCCAAGTAGAAGTGATCACTATATCTGTACCTTAGAGATAAAGAATCAATCATATCTCCAGTTTTATATTAAGTGGAATGCATTTAATATAGCTTTTAATTATTAATAGTTAAAAATCATATTTCTATAAGTTGGTACTAGTTTTTGATATATTACGTTTAGAAAAAATAGTACATTTATTTTTCAAAGAGGTTAAAAGTCGTATTTATACTTTGGCCAAATTTTCCCCAAATCTAAGATTGGATATACGATTCGTTACCTCTTTGGTATAGATATGTATAATTGAAAGCAAGGGAGCTGCTAAATCTTTCTCTTGCTGATGAGGCTTTAAATATATTTTTACAATCAGGCGGCCATTATGCTTTTAAAGGTGGTTTGGAACTATATAAATACTCTAAAAGTACCCATGATACTATAAAAAGAAGGTATGATACTACGCAGATTGATACTATATTACGGTGACGTATTGAGGTGAGGAGGCGTGGCTTTTACGAATTTTAGGTATCAGCTGATCGATAAATAAATTTAAATCTGCTCATTGCCATCACAAATAGCCATTTTCAGCCCCACACTACATCATACGCATACTTGACATGATTTTCTCAGGTAAGCATCATATATTTGAAATTTTTCTTCCATAGTTAAAGAGAAAATTATTCTCTATCTACTGGAAGCTAACAAAAAATGATGATTCATAATTATAGCGTCCTAGATGCCTAGTTGTATTTAAGTATTAATTTATTATCTTCAGACAGTTTCCAATCAAGCATATATGTTTGACGGATCTTACTTTTTCTAAATCACCATCCATACTGCTTTAAACAAGCCGTGAATATCTCGCAGTTAGTTATGTAGATGGCGACACTGTTTTTTTATCTTACGTTTATTTTAAAAAGTATCTTGAGAAAATGAAATATTTAGTTGAGAGTCTCATCCTTAAAAATGATATATTATTATTTTATATTCATTTTAGAAAGTATAGAAGCATAATTTGTACGTGTGCTCCAGCATTTTTATGGTATACTAGCGCCACTTCATAATAAAGCGGATGAATTTGTAATACAATGAAAAATACTCCTTCTTAATGTCAACAAAGTATCTACTACATACAACATTGCGTTTGACAATGCTAGATACTAAATTCTCTATTTAATCATTTTTGAAATTCATACAACTGTCTATTATGCAAATTTTTAGCATCTATTGATTAACATCCCAATGGATTCAGGTTAACGAGTTTATAGCTAAATTTGGCTTTAGATTATAAGGCAATTTATTAGTATTATTTACGCTGTCAAGCAGTGGCGGCTCGTAACCAAAATATTGAGGTTTCACAATGATAGAATATAGATGTCAGTAATACAGATTTAGATAAAAAAAGTGTTTATAATATATTTTTCTAAAACACTGATTTTTTTACTTAAATTTATAAATTGGTCATTTTGAACCTTCAATATCTTGATCACAAGCTACTACTACTGTCAAGTCTACAGCCAATGTCGGTTTGGGCTCTCGTAAATGCGAAGAAACCCTCCGTGTACAAAGAGGACTTTTATTGCTCTTAAAGGTATCGATAGCCCCTAGAAATCTCAATCCAACACTGTCTACATTCATTATTTCCTTTTACAGAACATATCTATAAGTAATCACTAAAAAACCTAAAACAGTGTAATTTTAAAACTTACTCCTATTTTAAAAAAAGACTTATAATGAACGTGAACGTAACGTGAATCTCAGTGGCGTCATTCGTGACGTCGGAAAAGACTGAAAGTGCGAGGTTCACGCGTTAACAGACCCCTAGGGGGTGTTTGGGGGTTCGAACTTGGTACGGGAAGTACCTCACAAGAGGATTCACTCCCACACATGGTGCAGCCAAGCAACAACAACAACGGAGGCTCCGACATGGACTCGCTCGAGGACATGCTGCGGAAGGTAATGTAATAATTATTGTTAAATCTATTAATTTGTGTACAAAACGTTTATTTTCTATTTACTTTTGTTATTTCTAATAATTGACATATTCAAAGGATATACACTGTAAGTTGATGCCTTTTACATTTAATTCTATCGATTTTATAATATTTTATTTAGAAAAATAATAATTTGAGGAATCTTTACCCACCTTATTTAAGGGATATTTTTTTATTTAAAGTTTTTTAAATGTCTTTTCTATTTCTATTCCGAACATGATAAAGTGGGAACCACCAATATTTTATCTCTCGAATTTTATATAAGTATAGTGATGACATAAACCAAAAAGAATAAAAATAATCAGAATATATGAACACTAAATAGTGACGCCAATGTCTCCGCGTTCCTAAGTTTCTAAATTGTTCAAAATGTACACGAAATAAGGACAATAAAAACATACAATAAAGCTGGAACGGTTTACTGAAACAACTGATAAAAACGAAATTGCGTCGAAAATAATAAAGACGAAACTTCTCACGGATTCAAATTTTGTAGTTGACGTTTCATTTTATATCAGTTGACAGTAGTTATCTCGTACATTTGCCGGAATTTGTAAGCTATTGTTGATACTTTCGTACAAAGTTGTAGGACGTAAATAAAGGAACGAGTTTTGGGTTATCACTTCTGTTCCGTTTTATTTGAGTCTTATTTTTCGTTTTATTTTTTGTCAATAGTATTACGAAGTTAAATGTATTTACTTTCTTCTATAATAAATTGTATATAATAAAGTTCAAAAAGTGCTGATTCAATAAAACAGTTATTTTGCGAGAAGGTCTTTGTTCACTGCCCTCACTGTTTCCATACCACTACATTTAAAAGTATTTTTTTGTACATAATAGTAGTATACCTTAGGCGGTACTGGATCATAATGGTAAGCTATCCATCCAGTTCTCAAGTCGGATGGCTTAGGTTCTGAAGAAGTAACCGAAGAAGAAGAAGTGATCGACAATGACCGGAAAGTGCGTGACGGCCTATACATATGTTTTAAATTAATATCATCTTGTTTAAATACAATTTAAACATTTGCGTTGTCTCTAATTAAATGTTTGGACGTTTGGGCATCACTCTGACTTAAATAGAATGGATCCACTTTAGCATGTCTAGACATACTGAAATATTCTCCAATAACATTTTGTTTGTCACAAGCAACATCGTCGAAAATAAATATGGAATTAGGTTTAGCTTCAGACAGATGCATTATATTTATAGATCTCTATTATCTAAGGATCTATCTTATTTAAATTTTTACTACAATTATAGTTTGATTTATAGATCCCTCAGATTACTTTCTATAATGTAAGCTGAAACCTTCCTCTCTACTTGTCATTAACTTTCACCAACTTAACATCAAAAATTTCCAAGAAGTCAATGATGAATAAAGACAAAAATATGAGTCATATCCGTGATAACTACGTACTTACATAAATCTTTAATGATCTTTAAAAAGAATAAGAATTGTAGGCTACGACATTTTTTGTGTATCACTTTTTATTGTTCTATACATTTTATCAATTCTGTGTAACAAAAGATTTTAATGGTTGAACCTACATAACTCCCAATATTGAAAACTTTAAAATGAATTGTTAATTAATAAATCAAGTTTACAATAAGAGCCTTGCCATGCTCTATAAGATTTTGCATATTCACAAATCGTAACATTTCAATTGAAATATTTTATTTTAATTATCGTGCCTTTGAAACACTAAACGAGTTTTTGCGAGATAAAAGGAAATCTTTGTCGGAACTTAAAATCGAAAATCCTATTAATACTTTATAGAATTTCAACCGGATTTTATATAACTCGGTCACGTTTTCAAATCGTAGAAGGGCAAGTTGGTTTCTTAAGTTTCTGAAACAATAATAGAGAAAATAATGAAAATCTGGAACATTTAGAAAATTTTGGATAAATAAAGATGTATCATTAGATAGACATGCGATAAAGTTTATACAAGGTATCTACTATTACCAACACCAGGAGTAATAGTAGTGGACTATGCAGACAACCTGGGAATAGTGGGAGTTGACAAAGATTTAAAAACGCTAGAGAAAAAGGCCAACCGATTGGTAGCATCACCGAATGCCTGAGTAGTAGAAGACTTAAACTCGCCTCTCAGAAATTTGAAACAGTCCTGCTAGTGGAAGGACAGAAAATCAGATGATTTAAAGTGACTGTTGGAGATACTAACAGCCGTATGCATAGTAGATCGCCAGCGATTCGCTGGCGATCCGCCGGCGAAAGCCCAAAAAGCTGGCGACTCGCCGGAGATTGTCACCGGAATGTCATTTCACGCAAGTTTTCATGTTCTTTTATAGGGAAAAATTCGAAATTCGTTCATTATTTTTTGAGTTTTAAGAAATGAATCATGAATAAAATGCGAGAGATACCGGTGATAATCCCTATAAAAGAAAATAAAAACTTGCGTGAAATGACATTCCGGTGACAATCTCCGGCGAGACGCCACCTTTTTGGGCTTTTGCCGGCGGATCGCCAGCGAATCGCTGGCGAAACGCCGGAATGAATCTCTGGCGAGTCGCTGGCGATCGACTATGCATACGGCTGTTAGATATTCAGCCAAGAATCAGTTAAATAACTTGGAATATATCTAACCGCAATATCAGCATAAGTCTCCATGTCAATCAACCAAAGCTCTAAGGCCAATGTCTAACATAGGTGGACCTAGAGAAAATAGTAAACATATACTACGAAACATGGTTCACTACAAAATATTTTTTGAGTCAAGTACCTGGCAGAGAGCTCCAAGAAAGAAGATTTACCTAAACACTCTCTTGAGTGTACAAAAAAAAGTAGTCATCATAATAAGAGGTGCCTATTAGGGTTGCCAACTGTCCTTTTTTGAAGAAAAATGCCCTTGTGACTTTTTTAAAGCTTAAAATGTCCTTTTTTACGGCAAATGTCTTTTTTTACAGCACATATTTTTGTTGGAAGGAAGGGACATGGTTTGTACATTTTTTTTAGTAGTTCAGTTGAAGGATGATGACTTTTTGTATACTGGAGTTCCTGTTAGAATCGTAGTCCTTTTCAAAAAGGTGGCAACCCTAGTGCCTATAGAACTATCTCAACCAAAGTCCTACTGATGATAGCCAGATTTCCACGTATAGAGCTACTAGTAGAAGAGCGATCCAAAATTGAGAGAGGCAAAAGTAGCTGGACAACTGGGATACTGATGACGGGAAGCTAATTGGTCGAAGAGATTGATTAGTGACAAAACAGTAAATTTGGAAACGTATACTACTATATGACGCAGATTCTAACAGAACACGGTGGATTACACGCTTACCTCCACCGATTTTGTCTAAATAATACGGACGAGTGCAAATATTGTTATCAGATAGACACTGTTGAACACATGTTTTTTGAATGCGACAAATGGAAGGCTAAAAGAAAAAAGTAGGTCAGATTACTTTGGAAAACCTCACAAGAGAAATGCTCGAGATTGATATAAAAAATCTGTAAACTAGCCATGATTATTAAGTCAAACAATTGACGAGCTGAAGCTTCTAGCTCACAAAAAGCAATCTTCTTGAAGTAAGACTGTAAAGTAGTTTAGAGAAGATCTTCCTGCTGAAGAAAGTGGATCTTTTTAGTCTGTTAAAATCCGACGCTACTTGGTAGGACACCAGGTGTCTTTTAAAGATTTTTTACTACCCAAAAAAAAACTACTACTTCTACTATATACTAATCCATTGTCACAACTACTAGTACCAGCTGTCAATATGTCATCTACATGTAGCTACGTGTAACACTCCAGAATCCAAGGGCACTATATCTAGGAGGATATCAAATAGAAGAGGGAGACTTACCTAACTTGAAGCCACTTCAAATCCTACACTTCCTTAAGAAAATAGGATTGGAAGGGTCGCTGTAGGCATTGAGACATTTCCTTAGTGCAGTGGTGACAGAAGGGGGCACAATAGATCTTTTAGGTCGCAGTGTAATAACACCCCATTCTCAACATAACATCTATGCCAATGAAGACAATGTTTACTTAAAATGTTTGACGAAGAATATTTTGTAACTGAAGTTTTAATTATTGTTTAATATAAAAACAATTCAACATGAGATAGGAAAATCGGTTAGGAATAAATATAGTCCGCTGCCCCTTTATCCGATATTTATTCCTCACTCCGCCGTATTCGAGGGATAAATCCAGCTGGAAAACCTCAGGCCCTTCGTTGGGTAATGGAGAAAATAAAAACGCATCGATCGCATGCACAATATGCAGATAGCGGAGAAAATAACACAGCAAAAAAAGCAAGGAAAATTACGTGCATTCACGTTTGAATAAATACCAGACACTTTGTTTCTATTAATCAAAGTCGCATTTTACAGGAAAAACTAAAACCGTCGAATAATTCTCCCATTAATTACTTTTTCGCTGAAATTGTTTTGCATTATTCCAACACGTAACTGCCATAACAAGGGAATTATTTTAATGATTGAACTCTCAACGGCCGAAAGGTAATTAACCGATATTGGATTGATTAAATTGAATTGAGTTCGTTCAGAAATAGTTAAATTTTATATGTGAATACTCTTTCTTGGTGAGTACTTATCAGGGTGACGATAGTTTGAAATCGAGAGATATTTTTGATCAATATTTTCTAAACCAAAACTCGCACATATATTTAAATGTCATTTTCGGTTTTTTGAGACGATTTTAAGGTATGCATGATATATAAAATAAAAAAAAATCATTTTTTGGTAAACGTAACCCCGAAAAAGGGTTAGAAAATAATATCAGGATAACCATGGTTTAATAAAAAAATTTGGGGAAAGCTTTATAAAGTAAGTATAGAGTTTTGAAAGGGATAACATGTATGGTTTTACCCCAGTATAAGTATTCTAGCAGTAATGACACTCCCTGGGCGGGAAAAAGACGCGCAGCTTTTACTGCGCTGATGTTTTCGGGATATAATCTGTCACTTGTCATAAATCCGGT